TCCTCCACTTGCACCTGGCTGGATGGCCTTGGGCAAGCCATAGTTCTGTCAGAGTTGTTCTTTCAAGGACAGTTCTGGAAAGAGCTCTCTCAGCCCCGCCTACTTCACAGGGTGTCTGTTGTGGGGAGGGGAAGGGAAAGGAGTTTGTAAGCCCCTCTGAGACTCCGAGTGAAGGGTGGGGTATAAATCCAATCCCTTCTTCTTCTTCTTCGTGCCTAGTATTTCTCCTGTGGGGTTGAGGCAGCCCAGCAAAGCAAGCTCTCCTTTGTTCCCTCCCTCTCTTTCTTCAGGGAGAAGCCTCAGCCAGTGGAAGGAAAGAAAGCCTTCCCTTTGTCTCCTGCAGCCTGGCCAGGAAGCAACCTTGGGCTTGTTCCCTCCCTCCCCCTGGGAGGGGGAGGGGGAGGAGCCTCAGCCAGTGCTTTACCAGACTCTCTCAATCGCACAGGAGAAGCTTGCCTATCTATTTCTCCTGTGCAGTTGAGAGAGTCTGTGACATAGCAGCAGCAGCAGAACTGGACGAGGAAGCAGAAAACAGCCAGACCCTTGCAGGCCGGATTGGAGCCCTCCCAGAGCCTGATCTGTCCCGAGGGCCATGTGTTTGACACCCCTGCTCTATGGGGACCGTTATAGTCAGTGGTCCCCATAGGCAATAATGGAGAAGCAATCTGGGGTATCTGGAGTTTGGGGTCTGTGGTATCTGGAGTTTGGGGGGGGGGTCTGTTTTTTGAATTAGAGGCACCTCAACCCCCTCCCTGCGGTTTCAAAAAGATCAGACCAGGGGATCCAATTCTATGGGCCTCAGAAGAAGGTGCCCCCATCCTCCATTGTTTCCAATGAAGGGGGAAGGCTTTTAAAGGAATTGCAGTCCCTTTAAATGCCTTATCCAAGCTGTGTGACTCCATGGTGAGTTAACTCCATAGGCATTAAAGGGTTCACAGTCCCTTTAAATGCCTTCTCCAAGCCGAGAGTTCACTTCAGAGACATTTGAAGTGACTGAATGCCCTTTAGCTCTGGCTATCCAGCAGTCCTGAAAAATTCAGAGTATTTTTGGGATTTTTCAGGTTGGCCATTTTTACATAGCCGGATAAGTACCCACTGGCTTGCTGGCTGAAAAAATACCTGGGAAATACCAATAAGGTATTTTTTTCGGCTCGATTTATGCCAAATGCACACCCCTACTGTGATGCAGTTAGAAACAAAATCTGTGTTTCACATTTGTTTCCCTCTGCTTATGATTCTATATTCTTAGATAGTTATTTATCATTTCTAAGGCTAAGAGATGGTAGATAAGCCTTGTAGCAATGATGTAAGACATACAAATTGTCTCCATTTATGTTGCTTTTATTTTTAAAAGGTCACATGGAGAAGTATATTTCTCATGTAAGTTATACCAATAATGCAGTAAAATAGTAATAATTTTGTTACTAGTGATTATATGGGTACAATAATAAGTAGAACAGGATCAATATTTAGAATACATCCTGTCCTTGGGAGAGCATTATCCCCTTCACAAGATATTTAACAGTGAAATAGTATAAAAAGGAATTAATTTATTTCTGAATTCATACTGTCATATTAATGAAGATAAAGTTAATGTACCAAGTACTATATTTGGATGATGGACTATTGAATTACTTGTGAAAATTGGACTACAAAGCATTTTTTTCTTTTTGTACCATTACAAGAAATGAGAGAGAGAGAGAGAGAGAGAGAGAGAGAGAGAGAGAGAGAGAGAGAGAGAGAGAGAATAATTTTAGCAAACAGTTATACCTGGTTTTTGTTAATGTTAGGGAGGAAGGTGCTTAGTAATCATGAAATTCTATATTTATGCTCATAAAATGATAAGAGATTTGGTTAGGAGAAAGCCTGACAAGTCACTGTTGGAAGTAAAGATTTGTTTATGTGAGGACTTTCAACGCTTAGCACTGAACCAGAAGTAAGGATGAGAATGAACCAGCTTGTGAACTGAAGTTTGTGACAAATTTTGGCTGGTTCATGAACTCAAGATCGCGGCAGGTCAACTGGCATGAATTTTCCATGAACTTTCAAGAAGTTTGTGGTGGTTCTTGCTGGCTCATGAATGGGTGCATTTCCAGACAGACTGTCACTGCTCAATATAAATGTTTACTAAACTTCAAAGCTATGGGGGGGTAGAACTTGGAGGGCATGTAGAAGAGGAATTGTGGGAAGTCCCCTGCCACTTTGATTACTCTAGCTTGCGCAGGATCCATTCTATACACTCCTGAACCTCCTGAACCTGCACCTGTCATTTCCCCAGAAAGCACATTCCTGGGGGCATCTTCTGGGGGGGGGTGTAACTCCGACCCTGTAAATCCAATCCTCACCAGACTTGGAACACAGGTGGAGGAGAGTCAGATGGAGATCCCCTGTGATTTCTCTAGCTTGCACAGGACCCATTCTATACACTCCTGAACCTCCTGGACCTGCATCTGTCAAAATAACCACCTGTCATTTCCCCAGAAAGCACTTTCCAGGGGGCACCTTCTTTGGGGAGGCATAAATGGGACCCCATAATCTTGGTTTGCCAGACTTATAGGTCTATATGAACTGGGATCCATTGGATCTCTCTGTTGTTTTAAAATTGTCATAATTTCCATCCTCCTCCAAGTATCTGGGGCTTTACCTCCCCTCAGTATCTTATTAAACATTCTCTGCATTTCCGGGATTATAAAATCTTTGTGAAGGTGTTAGCAGATAGACTGGAGAACCTGTTCCCAAGGTTAGTGGGAGAGGATCAATATGGGTTTGTGAAAGGGAGATCTATAGGTCATCCCATAAGAAATGTGATTAATGCTTTGTACCATGGGAATAACAATAAGAGGAGGATAGCCCTTTTGAAATTAGATGTGTATAAGGTTTTTGATACATTAAATCATGCGTTTTTTATTTCAAGTGTTAAAAACTTAGCTTTGAAGGACCTTTTCTAAATGCACTAAGAGAAATATATAGGGAAGGGAAAGCCATGATAAAAATTAATGATGGACATACTAGTGAGGTATTGATTCAAAGAGGAGTTAAACAGGGATGCCCCTTATCCCCGATGCTTTTTATAATAGCGATGGAGCCATTGGCAGACAGAATTAGAAATAGTATTAGGATACAAGGATATAGGAGAGGGAAGGAGGAAATTAAATTAAACTTATTTGCAGATGATATATTATTAGTGTTAGAGAATCCCCTGGAAGCCATGAGGGAACTCCCCGCGGTTTCGTGATCCTGTTTTTTGAGAATCATGAAACTGTGGGGAAAATCGGGCAAAGCCGAGGGTCAAAATGTGGCTGTGTGGCTTCGAATGGAAAATTGACCAATAGAAGTGGGGCAAAGGGAGGTGCGACCGCGGTGCAGCTCTTGTGTGAAATCGGTCTGGGTGTGGGTGGGATCTAATCCTGTGTTGTGGCTGGACCCAGCTCCTGGCCCCCCTGCCTTCCAACTTACAATTTTCCAGCAGTGAATATAGTCTTCCATGGAGCTCTGCCAAATTGGGACAAAGTGGCAGCATTTTGCATTTCATAGAATAACAGTTGAAATGATAACCTCCCATAATATCCCATATGCTAAGAATACGCTTGGTATTAAAAGTTCAGTTTGTAGAATAACCAGTCACAGAATCCGCGGGGAAAATCGGGTGAAGCCGCGGGTCAAAATGCGGCCGTGCAGCTTTGAGCGGGAAATTGACCAAGAGAAGCGGGGCAAAGGGAGGCGCGACCACGGCGCAGCTCTTGTGTGAAATCGGTTCCAATGGACAAGTTAAATACATTAACCGATCATGGACTGGGCTGCTTTACAAACAAGCGCTGTGCTCTAACCATTTTTTTTCTTGTTTTTCTCTCTGCAGTATATTGCATTTGCCTCCCTATTCTTCATTCTGGTTTCCATCACTACCTTTTGCCTCGAGACTCATGAGAGATTTAATCCCATCGTTAACAAGACAGAGACGGAAATTGTTGGGAATGGCACCCAGGTGCGCTTCTATCTGGAAGCAGAGACTGAAGCTTTTCTGACCTACATTGAAGGAGTCTGCGTCGTCTGGTTTACTTTTGAATTCCTGATGAGGGTTATTTTCTGTCCGAACAAGATGGAATTTATCAAAAATACCTTGAACATCATTGACTTTGTGGCCATTCTGCCTTTCTATCTGGAGGTTGGACTCAGTGGCCTGTCTTCCAAAGCTGCTAAGGATGTCTTGGGCTTCCTGCGAGTCGTCCGGTTTGTTCGAATCCTGCGAATTTTCAAGCTGACCCGCCACTTTGTAGGGCTGCGGGTTTTGGGACATACCCTTCGCGCCAGCACAAATGAATTCTTGCTGCTCATCATCTTCTTGGCACTGGGCGTCTTAATCTTTGCCACGATGATTTACTACGCGGAGAGAATAGGTGCTAAACCCAATGATCCTAGTGCCAGCAAACACACACACTTTAAAAACATCCCCATTGGCTTCTGGTGGGCTGTTGTCACCATGACTACCCTGGGCTATGGAGACATGTATCCTCAGACTTGGTCAGGCATGCTGGTGGGAGCCCTGTGCGCTCTTGCAGGCGTGCTGACCATTGCTATGCCTGTGCCCGTCATTGTGAACAATTTTGGAATGTATTACTCCTTAGCGATGGCTAAGCAGAAGCTACCAAAGAAAAAAAAGAAACATATCCCACGGCCGCCCCAGTTGGGATCCCCCAATTATTGTAAATCTGTCATAAACTCGCCACACCACAGTACTCAGAGCGACACATGCCCACTTGCCCAAGAAGAAATGTTAGAAATTAACAGAGCAGGTAGGAAACCTCTTAGAGGAATGTCCATCTGACCATTAACTTCCATCCTTTGTAGAGATTGAGAGATTCAGTCAGACTGCTTTCTTAGAGCAATGGGTAGCACATTATCCCATTACCGTCCCACCGTCACACATGGAATCATGTGTGGGACATAGAGGTTGCAGGGACAAACAGTGCAGGAGAAGCTGGCAAGCAAAACTTAGAGGAGTGCACGTTATAGGAGCCTTAACACTGGTCCTGTATAAAGGGGCATGTAAAAGATTTTCAGAAGGGAGAAAAGATTTAATGGAAGATTTTCTTGTTGTTGAGTTCTACAGCCTACCTTGCTGGACTGACTAATGTATCATGATGGCTCCTGAAAGCTGAATGCTTCCTAACACAGTGGGAGCCAAGGGCACAGGTCATGCGCTGGAAAGAAACACGTACACACACACAATTCTCCCCCCCCCCAAGTATTTTTCCCACTTGTTTACAGCTGCTTTTAAAGTTGCAGAAAACCATGCATTTGGTTAGAGAGATGAGGTGCCTACTTCAAGGCTATCTTACGTCAGCACATGAAAATCCATGAAACGACTACATCCTTTTGAGGTGGCTAGCCACCCATGAAAATGATAGCTTAGTTTTTCCACAGAAACACAGTGTGATTCGCAAGAGAACAAGGCTAATGTAAGGATATTTTTTTTCCCGTAGCAGGCAACCCAACCTATTTTATGACATCATCATACTGAAGCTTAGCATTTAGAGTTCAAGAGAACAGGAGGAGAGATACAATGCCTTCTTTTGAAAGCTTAGGTCTGTACCTCCTCCAGCCTTCTAGCATTAAAGACGGACTGAAAGGGGAGACTATTGGCCATTGTGGGTAGACTTGTACTGAAGAGCCATGAGTGATAATCTCACAGGGTACTCTATTTTTTTAGGAAAAGATAGTGAAAAATGACAGCAATAAGAAAAGATTCCCAGTCAGACTAAACTGTATTTCATACTAGTTCCATATTGGGGGTGGGAAATGAAAATACTAGTCATCATGGAATATATTATAATATCCCATGGCTAGTGGTTAGTTATGGGACTATCTCAGTTTTATGAGACTCCTCAAAGAGCACACAAAGTTACAGGGCTTTGATCTGATTAGTTCAACCCCATAATCTACCTCTACCCATGGAATATCATTGACCTATTCTGTGGAGAGAAAAACCAGTAATTTCGAAGTAAATAACTACAAATTATTTTGTCCAGTTACATGAGCATAGGTTACAGCCATGTGCAACCTTTTGCTATTTAAAATATCTCCCACAGTACATATTCTGATACAAATAATTTATACAGTGTTTTGTGCTAAACTTCAGTGGTAAGGGATATGTTGAAAGAACCAGTTTATACCTGTGATGGTCTTGCAGTATCGTTTTTCTTGTTTGTTTACTTACTAACAATGGAAATCTAATTCGTCACTTCATAAGGGTGAGAAAGCGCCTTTTCCCATTTCATAGCCATGCATGTGGATGCTATTGAACGAACACAAAAGAAGTGTGACTTTCCTTTGTGTGAGGCTTCACCAGTGCCAAATGCTAATTCCTAAAAGATGGGGAGGTGATGGTGGGAAATTAACTTTTATTTTTCTTTGTCCAGCTCTGTAAAGCCCATGTTTTAAAAAAGACAACAACTTTGATTTGAAAACTTCCATTGCACCAGGCTGCCACAATCCATGTGATCGACTTTCCTATTTTAGCCTTTACGCCCACCTATGTGGTCTTCTCTGTCCATTCTCCTCAGGTTGCAAATGCTTATCACAAATCCATCACCAAGCAATGAAATAACTTCTTCATGAGTAAATAAATACATTTATAGCTCTGTAAAGCAGGAAGGATAAGAGGACACTCATGAAGCAGTGTGTCACATTCATATTCAACTGCCAAGAGCACGGCAGATTGTGTCTTCACGGTTCAGTGTAGAACCAGTTTCTTCTCATGAATGCTGTGGAATCATATGCAATTTCTCTGTGTTGATGGTCCTACTGACTACTTATTATCTCCAATGTGATTCTTCTTATCTATGAGACTTCGTGGAGAAATATCAGTGTAAACTGAACCCTACAACTCCAGGAGCCGTTGTGACCACAGCTGCCAGTTCTGGTTGAGGTTTCTCTATTCAGTCCTGTGCATAAGAACAATTGTGCGGAGATAATAAGTAGCCAGCTTGCATGTACAAATCCTAGCATCAGCAATGTGTTTTGGCTTTCCATCAGCTCCAGAGCACATTTGTACATTACAGCAGAGTCAAATTACAGTACCTATTTATTCATTCAGTGCAACTGAAGCAAAAGTTACAAGTATTACCGGGGGGGGGGGGGGGTGTTCAGTAAGGAGATGGACTGTGACACAGTCTGTAAAATCTAGAGACAGCAGATATTGTTTTTCTCCCTCCAGTTTAACATCACCCTCATTTCCTGTTGGCAACCGTCAGCACTAGGTCACAGCCAGGGTTCTGATAGTAACAGAGGTTGGACAACCCATACCTTGAAGCAGAAAAGAAGCTAAAGGAAAATTAATCAGTCCCATAGTGATGACGTTTAGTCATGCCGGCCACATGACCACGGAAACGTCTTCGGACAGTGCTGGCTCTTCGGCTTGGAAGCGGAGATGAGCACTGCAACCCTGGAGTCGGATTTGACTGGCTTTCGAGCAAGGGAAACCTTTACCTTTACCTTTATAGTGATGGTGGCCATGGGACAGCAAGTACCATGAAGGGTTCGAGAATCTTTTCCTAGGTCACATCTATAGTGAATGGCTAAGTTTGGTGTACAGCCAGTTTGGTGTAGTGGTTAAGTGTGCGGACTCTAATCTGGGAGAACCGGATTTGATTCCCCACTCCTCCACTTGCACATGGGTGGATGACCTTGGGCAAGCCGTAGTTCCGATAAGAGCTGTCCTCGAAAAAGAGCAGTTTCTGTCAAGAGCGCTCTCAGCCCCACCTACCTCACAGGGTGTCTGTTGTGGGGAGGGGAAGGGAAAGGAGTTTGTAAGCTGCTCTGAGACACCCAGGGCCGGCTCACTCACTAGGCGATCGCCTAGAGCAGGACGGCCCTTAGGGGCACCAAACTGCACCCGGCCCTGTACTCCGGGAGTTTCTTGATTATTTGTGTTTTTCATTCTTCCTAAAATGCATTTATTTTGACAATTGGTGGGTGCACGGGGCCCCAGAAGGGATCCTCGCCTAGGGTGCAAAATAAGCTGGAGCCAGCCCTGGAGACACCTTTGGGTAGTGAAGGGCGGGGTATAAATCCAATCTCTTCTTCTTCTTCTACCTCACAGGGTGTCTGTTGTGGGGAGGGGAAGGGAAAGGAGTTTGTAAGCTGCTCTGAGACATCTTTGGGTAGTGAAGGGCAGGGTATAAATCCAATCTCTTTTCTTCTTCTTCTAAAACCAAGGCCAAAATAATTTCATTAAAGAACATGCTATCCTTCTTTATGATTGCTTTTGAAGTGATCAAGCAGTTTTTCAATTTCTGGACCATATGAAGAAGAAGAAGAGAAAAGATTGGGTTTATACCCCGCCCTTCACTACCCAAGGAAGTCTCAGAGCGGCTTACAAACTCCTTCCCCTTCCCCTCCCCAAAACAGACACCCTGTGAGGTCGGTGGGGCTGAGAGAGCTCTGACAGAAATGGCTCTTTTTCAAGAACAGCTGTGCCAGAACTATGGCTTGGCCAAGGTCATCCAGCAGGTGCAAGTGGAAGAGTGGGGAATCAAACCCGGTTCTCCCAGATTAGAGTCTGTGCACTTAACCACTACACCAAACTCGGTGTATGGGACAAATTGCTAAGCCTGATGAAGTTGCCTGAGATGCTGAGAGTGGAGGTTTTGTAAACACCGCGGTAGTATCTCACCGACCAGATTTGTGCAGTTCCTTGTCTCCTAGGAATCCCGATTGCATTCTCTGAGTCTTAATCTTATTTTAAAAATACCGACATTGATGTAAACCCACCTCCTCACCTGCTCTCACTCTCAATTCCAGTTACATTTTTTTAAAAACCCCAACAACTATGTGCTGCCTGCAGCCTCCGTGGTTTACTGAAAAAGACATCATGTTGGGTTATACATTCTGCCCCTTCCTAGTGTAGCCCTACCCTCCAGGTAGGCCTCAGGGCCCACCCACTTGGAGAAGCATCTCATGGAGATCAGAGAAGAAGAAGAAGAAGAAGAAGAAGAGGAAGAGGAAGAGGAAGAAAAGGAAGAGGAAGAGGAAGAAGAAGAGAAGGAGGAGGAGGAGGAGATTGGATTTATACCCCACCCTTCACTACCCAAAGGAGTCTCAGAGGGGCTTACAAACTCCTTTCCCTTCCTCTCCCCACAACAGACACCCTGTGAGGTAGAAGAAGAAGAAGAGATTGGATTTATCCCCCGTCCTTCACTACCCAAAGGAGTCTCAGAGGGGCTTACAAACTCCTTTCCCTTCCTCTCCCCACAACAGACACCCTGTGAGGTAGAAGAAGAAGAAGAGATTGGATTTATCCCCCGTCCTTCACTACCCAAAGGAGTCTCAGAGGGGCTTACAAACTCCTTTCCCTTCCTCTCCCCACAACAGACACCCTGTGAGGTAGAAGAAGAAGAAGAGATTGGATTTATCCCCCGTCCTTCACTACCCAAAGGAGTCTCAGAGGGGCTTACAAACTCCTTTCCCTTCCTCTCCCCACAACAGACACCCTGTGAGGTAGGTGGGGCTGAGAGAGCTCTGACAGAAACTGCTCTTTTTCAAGTACAGCTGTGCCAGAACTATGGCTTGCCCAAGGTCATCCAGCAGGTCCAAGTGGAGGAGAGGGGAATCAAACCTGGTTCTCCCAGATTAGAGTCCTCGCACTTAACCACTACACCAAACTGGTTCTCAGTGGGCAGCAGAGGGAGTGAGGAGGGACGAATATTCCCATTTCACTCATGGGAAATTTAGACTGGAACTGTGCGTCATCTTGTGTGGTGCACTTCCCTGTTGTGTGGTAGCATGTTCCTGT